TAATTAACCTTAGAGCTGCAACAATTTGTTGCTATTAAAATAACATAAATTGTTTTCATATTAAATATATGTTATAAAGCTCACTTGTAACCATCTTCAAATTGAATTAAATTTGTGCATTTATTGTTTTAGGTTTGAAACACCATCTTGAGCCGTTTACATGCATCTGATCAGAGCTACAGTGCTGCAGGGAGACAGGTTCCTGCAGGATCACGGACAATTTTCTGATGCAGCTTTGAAGACCATGGAGGCTCACCCAGTGCTGAACAGGACCAAGAAGTCTGATGTAGTCCAGAAGCTGCAGTGGTGCTGTGGCTCTGTACCAGCCCTTCATGGAGAACAATCTGCAGGACACCTTCAGAGACTGTGACTCTGCTGAAGACTCTCATCACATCTCCTCTGACCACAGCTGAATCTGAGAGGAGCTTCAACAATGAAGAGAATCCAGACTTTCCTCAGGTACAACATCACACCTCACTGCACTGACCATGCTCTCTGTAGAGAAGAATCTGGTTAAAACATCTCTGACTTTAACCAGAGTCATGAAGAAATTTGCTTCTCAGTAACAGAAGAGCAAAATTTATGTACAAAAAAACAAAACAAAACAAAACAAAAACACAACGTGATATTGTAATGCTTTTTTATTATTTTCATTTGTTTAATAAATACACTGGCGTGATAAAGCTTAGTACATGTTTGATTGCTTTCTGAGTAACGTCTATTTTGGAGTTGTAGCCCCCCCCACCCCCCGGAGAAAYATCCACCAGCCACCACTGATTCTGCACCACAGCCTGTGTGACATGATGTGTGTCTTGCAATTGCAATAAACCATGTTGACCAGGGGTGCTCAACCAGTCGATCGCGATCGCCCGGTAGCTCGTCGGCTGGTTCCCGGTAGCTCACGGAGCGCAACCTTCCTCTAACAGCTGAGAGCAACAGTTGCGCTCCGGCCTGGGATTCATGTCCGCTCGCTGAGCTCTCCAGCAGAAGCGGTGGAGGTGGGAGGCGGGAGGAGTTTACATTCCAGCCTTGAACACGCTCCCTCCGCCCTCCCCAGCACAGCTGACGAGGCAACGAACTGAAGATCTTTTTATTTTCAGTTTGACACTTTTTATATATATTTTGTGTTTCTTATGTCAGTCTTTCAGCTAAAATTTTATAATTAT